AACATCGCCTCCCCAGGCGCCCGGAATCTGATCACGGCAGCATGTGGGTGGGTGTGTGTGTGTGGGTGTGTGTGTGTGGGTGTGGGTGTGGGTTTTGGGGGGGTGTGGCAGGTGGCAGAATCCAAGAGCCTTCCTCTTTCCTGCCCATTTCTGGTGTTTCCAGTGCATCTTTCTGCTTAGCAAATATTTGTTGAGCGTCTACTATGTGTTGTATAAGAAAGAATTTGTGCCAGCTTCCTGGCATGGAGCTCCTAAAACCCTTGGAATTTCCCAAGTGATAGAAGGGTCTTTGTTATTCATGAGCTTCCTGGATCACACCGGAGTTTATGCTAATGAGGGGACTCTTGGAGAGATCTCTTTGATAGCTTCAGGATGGGAGCTGGGACCAGAAAGAACAACCATGCAATTAGATGGTCAAGACTTTGAGCCAATGGGACCTCCAAGGGGGGAGAGAGGCTGGAGATTGGGTTCACTCGGGTGGGCAGTGATTTAACCCCTCCTGCCGACAAGCAAACCCCAGTGAAAAGCCCGTGGCGCTCGGTGAACACATTAATGTGTTGGGAAGGTGCTGCGCCTGGTCCATGGAGAGAGAACAAGGCAGCGATGCAATTGGGCCCTCCCAGATCTCACCATATCTGTCTCTTCATTTGGCTGCCCCAGATCTGTACCCTTTACAATAAAACTGGTCGTAAGTATAGCACCTTCCTGAACCCCGTGAGCCATGGTAGAGAACCATCCAATCTGAGCGGGGTCGTGAGAACCCCCAGGTTTGTTGCCAGTTTTTATTCAATTAAAATTGTTAAAGTGTTATTACAAACTCTTTGTGAATGTGAAATCTCATAACTGCATAACACGTTCTCTTTCAGACAAACCATAATTTGGAATGTTTCAGTTTTTGCCATTGTAAAACTTCCTGTGTCTCCATCAACAGAGAAATGGCCGGCTGTCGCATGACGTAGTGGAATACTGTAGAGCAGGTACTATTGACATTTTGGGCAGATAGTTCTTTGTTGTGTGTTGTAGGACTTTGACCTGTATACCCAGCCTTATCCACCGCGTACCAATAGCACCCTGCCTCCAGCTGTGACAACCCACACCGTCTCCAAATGTCTCCTGGGGGCAAAATCACGAACCATATTCATTGCTAATACAGCAATGAAAATAAAAGAGCCACAATTACAAAAGCGAAATAGAGATGAATCTCATAAAGATGAAATCAAGTAACAAAAGGTCCAATTTCCTTTGTATAGGGTTCACAAATAGGCAAAACTCATCTATGGAGTTACAAGTCAGGATAATGGTTATTCTTGGGAGGGGAGGGGACTCTCTGGTGCTAAAGTTTTCTAGAGTTTGACTTACTAATTTTTGATGTTAAATAAGACGTAAAATTAGTTTATATAGTCAAAGATGTCATATATGCCCTAGTCGATTTGGCTCAGTGGATAGAGCATTGGCCTGTGGGCTGAAGGGTCCAGTCAAGGGCATACGTCCACCTTGCAGGATACGATCTTCAGTAGGGGGCGTGCAGGAGGCAGCCAATCAGTGGTTCTCTCTCATCATTGATGTTTCTCTCTCTCTCTCCCTCTCCCTTCCTCTCTGAAACCAGTAAATATATATTAAAAAAAAAAAAAAAAAGATGTTGTCCTAGCCGGCTTGGCTCAGTGGATAGAGCGTCAGCCTGAGGACTGAAGGGTCCCAGGTTCAATTCCGGCCAAGGGCACATGCCTGGGTTGCGGGCTCAATCCCCAGTGGGGGGCGTGCAGGAAGCAGCCGATCAATGATTCTCTCTCATCATTGATGTTTCTATCTCTCTCTCCTTCTCCCTTCCTCTCTGAAACCAATAAAGAAATATATTTTTTAAAAAAAGATGTCATAAAGTTTATAACATCTTTCATCCCTTTATAAAAGCTTAAATTTATACAAGTAATACATATTCATTCCAGAATTAGATATTACAGATAAGAAAAAATAAAAAATTAAATGTAATTCTATTGTCTAGAAAAAAACTATTATAAATATTCTGGTGTGCCCATTTTCAGACTTTTTCTACACATATATGTACATGTAAATATGTTACATAATTTCTTTCTGTAAAAGTGGGATCGTGGTGTACACATTTATTATTGATTTGAGAGAGAGAAAGGGAGAGACTGAAAGAGAGAGAGACACAAAGGCAGAGACAGCAAGAAACATTGATGTTTAAGAGACACGTCGGTCGGTTGCCTCCTGCCCCCGCCTGACCTGGGCTGGGGATAGAACCTGCAGTTACATGCCCGTGACCGGGAATCAAACCCTTGACCCTTTGGTGTGCAGGCCAATGTTCTAACTGGCCAGGGCGACATGTTTGGTTTTGTTCGTTTGTTTTTAATTTTAATGATTTGTCAGCATCTTTCCATTTCAATAAACACAGGGTTCCATAATCATTTTTATGGACTGAATTCCTCAACATTGAATTGCCGAGTCATAGGATAGGATACTTCAGTGTTTTTGCTGCGTGCTGCTGAGCGGTCCCCAGACATGCTGTGTCAGTGCACACAGAGCGGCATTCAGCGCAGGCATCACCGAGCCCTTTCTCCACATCGGGGCGGGAAACAGCAGTGTTTGAGCTCCTTGCTGTTCTGAAGAGGTTTTTTTTAAAAAAATTTCCATGTAAATTCTTTTTTAAAATATTTTTTCAATTACAGTTGCCACTCAATATTGTGTTATATTGGTTTCAGGTGTATAGCACAGTGGTTAGACATTTACATAATTTACACAGTGATTCCCGGGATAAGTCCAGTCCCCACCTGGCACCATATATCATTATTATGATATTATTGACTGTATTCCCTGTGCTGTACTCTACAGCCCCGTGACTATTTTGTAACTACCAATTTTTGCTTCTTACTCCTTCCACCTTTTTCACCCTGAAGAGGTTTTTTAAAAAGGTTTCTCTTTAATTCCTCGCGCCCCCCCCCCTTTTTTTATTGCGGGTGATATTGTACACTTTTTTTTATAGATTTATTGGCCATTTAGATTTCTTTTAATTTCCTGTTCATATTCCTTGTCTATTTATTAGGATGTTCATATTGTCCTTTATGAGCTTAAGAACTATTTATAGCCTAAGATTTTTAACTCTTTGTCCCATTATACAGCATGGGGCAAAAGTAGGTTTACACTTGTTTATACAGAAAATAATACATTAATTACTAAATAATAACACAAGAATAAACTCTATCAAGAACTCACAAGACCTACTTTTGCCACACCCTGTATATATTGCAAGTATTTCCTCACAGAATTTCATTTGACTTGTAACTTCTTAGCAATTTTTTTTGTCCAGAGAACATTTACATTTCACATAGTAAAATCCATCAATCTCTTGTTTAACAATGTCCCTGGTGTCTTTGTCATGCTTAGAAAGTCTTTCTCCATCTCAAACTATATATAAACCTATATTTTTCTAGTGCTTGTGGTAAAATCACAATTCCATCTGGAGTTTATTTTGGTATGTAGTATGAGGTAAGACTCTAATTTTAATTTTTTCTCAAATAACTAGGAAGTTGTCTCATCCAATTGCCAAATAAATTCATCCTTTCCCAGCACTGAGATGTCACCCTTAACATAAAGCAGCGATTTTCAACCAGCGTGCCACAAGAATTTTTAAAACATGCATACCTGACTGCTTAATTACAGGCGTTGGCCTGTCTTCCCTCAGATTGTCAAATAAAAAAATGACAACAGCCAACACAACAATAGCCGTCCAATGTGAATGAATCAAAATTATACCTATTTTTTTTGTCAGATCGGCAAAAAACATATTTTTTGATGTGCCGCAGAATGTTAGTAATTAGTTTATGTGTGCCATGAGATGAAATAGATTGAAAGTCACTGACATATATGTCCACAGTAGGGCATGGTTATAGTTATCATGTTGTTATAACATACTACAGGCCCAGTGCACGAAATTCATGCAAGGGGCTCGGCCCTAGCAGCTGCGGCGGCTTGCCTCGGCCCTCGAAGCCCCAGCTTCGTCTGGAAGGTCATCTGGAAGGTCGTCTGGCTACCTGGACTAATTGGCATATTATGTTTTTATTATTATAGATATTTCTTTGAAAAATTTGTTTTCTACATGATAGTGTTTGCTTTTCTTTCAACTTAACTTTAGAATTATTCTGCTAAATTTAAGAATCCTGGCCTTAACTGGTTTGGCTCAGTGGATAGAGCAGCGGTTGTCAACCTGTGGTTCGCGACCCTTTTGAGGGTCAAACGACCCTTTCACAAGGGGTCACCTAAAACCATTGGAAAACACATATATAATTACATATTGTTTTGTGATTAATCACTATGCTTTAATTATGTTCAATTTGTAACAATGAAATTGGGGGTCACCACAACATGAGGAACTGTATTAAAGGGTCGCTGCATTCGGAAGGTTGAGAACCACTGGGATAGGGCATTAGCCTGCGGACTGAGGGTCGAAGATTCGATTCCAGTCAAGGGCACATACCTTGGTTACCGGCACATCCCCAGTAGGGAGTGTGCAGGAGGCAGCTGATCGATGTTTTAACTCTCTATCCCTTTCTCTTCCTCTCTGTAAAAAAATCAATAAAAATATATTTTTAAAAAAATTTAAGAATCCTGTTGGTTTTATTGAATTTGCATTACATGTATGGGTTAATTTGTAAAGGATTTGACAGCTTTTCTGTATTGTCTTTCTGTCCATGAAGATAGAATATCTACATTTCTTCGAGTCTTCTTTTCCCTCTGTCAGAATATTATTTTCTTCATCTAAGCTCTACACTTTCCTTGTTAAATGTATTTCCTGGGTATTCTATATTTTTAATGCAATTTGGGAAGATCTTTTTTTCCTTTATATTTTCTAACTGGTTTTTCTAGGTATATAGAAAAAGGATGGATTTGTGTGTATATCTGTACTTACTGTTTATACCCCAATTTGTGCATATCCAAAAATAGTCCAAACTATTTTCAATTGATTCCCTTGGGTTTTCCCAGTAAAAAAACCATATACTCTATAAATAATGATATTTTGCCTCTTCCTCTGAAATATTTATTTAACTTTTTTTTGCATTGATGAGAACTTTCCAAACTCTGTTGAATAATGTCATAGTCATCATCTTTGTTGTAGTGGTATTCCTCATTAGTAGAAAACACCTCAAATGTTCCATTTTCAAAGTGACTAAAGACTTGATTTGCTTCAAGTACATTGAGCTATATTTATCTGTACACCCACATCATTTTTACCTTAGGAATCTGAGAAACATTTCTATTCTGTGACTTTCTTAATATTGATTATTGGATTGTGCCTTTTATATATTGTATCTTTTCTCTAATCATTTTTATCTCTTTTTCCTTTGCATTCTAGGAGAGGTTCTTGAATTTGTACATTATGTCACTGATTTCATTTGCAGTAGTATCAACTCTGCCTTGGTTCCTTCCAATAAGGACTTAACGCTAAGGAATTGTTATTAACTCCTATTTTGATTCTTCCTATTGTTCTTTCATCTGAGTCTACTCCCTTCTGAAGTTTCCTGGTTCACAGGACTATTTCTTTTGTGCTTTTGTGAGCATGCCTAACTGTTTCTTGATACTGTCTTCACAATTCTTTGTCATCGTAATTTGAGGTATACTCTTCCTCCAAGCATTTTTAAGGGAAGGTATTTTTATTTTTAACATTTGTTATTTTTCAATTACAGTTGACATTCAATATTATATTAGTTTCAAGTGTACAACAGTGTTAGGCATTTATATAACATGAAGTGATCACCCCAATAAGTCTAGTACCCACCTGGCTCCATACAAAATTACCACAATATTATTGACTATATTCCCTATGCTGTATTTTACATCCCTATGACTATTTTGTAACTGCCAATGTGTACTTGTTAATTCCTTCACCTTTTTCACTAAGCCTCCCAATGCCCCTCCCATCTGGCAATCAGGGAAGATATTTTTATTTCAAAAGATTATATACATTCAGAAAATTATTGAGAATAATATAATGAATACTTGTTCAAGTATGACCCAGTTTTTGCCAAATTTTAGCTTTTTTAAAAAACTGAGACCTTCCAACAACCAGTAAGTGAGCTTGAAAGCAGATCCTTTCCAGTTGAGCTTTCAAATAAGACTGCAGCCTTCACCCACAGCTTGACTGAAACTCCCTAAGAAACCTGAGCAGAACCACCCAGCTTAGCTACTCTCAGATTCCTGGGCCACAGAAAGTGTGATTATTAAATGTTTATTGTTTTAAGCGGCTAAATTTTAGTGTAATTTGTTTTTTGCAGCAATAAGTAACTAATACACAGTTGAAGGCCCCTTATGCCCCTTCCTAATGCATTTTCCTATTCTTCCCAGAGGTTATCATTATGCTCAACTTGAGGTTTCTACCATTCTCTTGGATGTTTTTTCCTATTGTGACTAGACCAACTACTATTGGAAAATAATCTTATAAATTAATTTTGAGGGTTTTAAAGAAAATTCTAATTCCAAACTTGTAAACATTCAATATAAATACAGTATGTACTCGTAGCTCAATATATTATTTTACAGATGAGTAACTGAGGCACAGAAAGGTTAATTAACTTGCCCACGGTTGTACAGCTGTGATCCAGTGCTCTCTGCCTGGTAGGAAGACCCACACATTTACTCCTGCAGGACCTGCGTTCCTGGTGTTTTTGTCTTTGTTGGGTTGCTGTGCTGGATTCCTATTAACCAGGTCTTTGGGACTAGGACACATTAAGATGTGCCCCCCATGAATCCTTGGGTTCCAGACTTTGCTTCCTTCCTCCATTGAGTAGCAGAGCCATTTTTCCTTTGGTAATCACATTGACCACGCCATCTTGGCTGGGGCTGGGGCTGGGGCTGGGGCTGCTGTAACAACGTACCATAGGCTGGGTGGCTTAAACAACAGATCTTTATTCCCCAGCCTGGACGTCTGAGATCAGGGTACCAGTACGCCCTTCCTGGCTCACAGATGGCTGCCTCCTTGCTCTGTCCTCACATGGCACAGAGGGGAAGGGAGGAAGAGAAAATGGGACTCATCCCCTTAATATCTTTATATATAAAAGCCTAAGCGACCACCAGTCAACCAGTCGCTATGACAGGCACTGACCACCAGGGGACAGACACAATGCACAGGAACGTGCTCCCTCCTGTCTGGATTGGGCCAGTGGGGAATGGGCTCCCTCCCATCTGGATTGGGCCCATGGGGATTGGGCTGAAACCAGCTATCCAACATCCCCTGAGGGGTCTGGATTGCGAGAGGGTACAGGCCAGGCTGAGGGACCCCACCAGTGTACAAATTCGTGCAGTGGGCCTCTAGTAAGAAATATAAGAACAGTAATCCCAAATTGGGGCCTCTATCATCATGACCCCTAATTAGTCCCAAAGGCTCACCTCCTAACACTATAAGATTTGGGTTGAGGCCCTAGCTGGTTTGGATCAGTGGATAGAGTCTCGGACTGAAGGGTCCCTGGTTCAATTCCGGTCAAGGGCACATGCGGGAGTCAGGGGGAGGGTGTGTGTGCAGGGGGCAGCCAATCAATGATTCTCTCTCATCATTGATGTTTCAATCTCTCCTTCTCCCTTGCTCTCTGAAATCAATAAAAATACATTTTAAAAAATTTGGGTTGGGGCTTCAACATATAGATTTTGGGGTGATATAAACCATGACCCTTCTCTGTC